GTGAGTTGTCCATATTGCTTCATTTTTGTTTAGCTCATTTATTTATTTATTCTTTGTTATTTGTTTATTCATCCGATTCCTTTTTTTGGATATGAGACCAAGGTTGTTTATCGGTAGGCAGGTGACGCTGCGCCGTGGAGGGTAGAGTTTTATTATTATTTCCTTACTTTTGATGTCTCGGAAGAGCATTTGTGTGTGGTTATTATTATGACGCGTCAGGCTGCTCAGATATGTCAGGAAGGAGAGCGGAAGAAGGGCCTCCGCTCCGTCTCGCCACCGGATCGTCACCCTTTGCGTCGACGCAGAAGACGGCCGAAAGGGTTGGAGGGACCGAGGACCCACACCCGTAACAGCAGGTATGTGACAGTGATATTGTTTTTGTACTTGGTTTATTTTAGGGGTCGTGTGTGTGTGTGTGTGTGTGTGTGTTTGGTGCTTCTCTTTGTCATGGACTCTTTCTGTCGGGTACCTTGTCCCCTCGCCCTTTCCCGGGCTCTCTCTCTCTCTCTCTCTCTCTCTCTCTCTCTCTCTCCTCCTCTCTCTCTCTCTCATCTCTCTCTCTCTCTCATCTCTCTTCTCTCTCTCTCTCTCTCTCTCTCTTTCTCTTTCTCTTTCCCTCTTTCTCTTTTCTTTTCTCTCTTCTATCTTTCTCTTTCTCTTTCTCTTTCTCATTCTCTTTCTTCTCTCTCCTCTCTCTCTCTCGATCTCTCCGGTCTCATCTCTACTCCCATCTTCCTCGCCCCACCCCTTCCCATCGCGTCCGCTGCTCTCTCCATCTCCTCGCCGTCTCGCCCCTATTTTCGCCTCACGTCGGATCTCTCTCTCTCTCCTCTCTCTCTCTCTCCTCTTCCTCTCTGCGTTTTCTCTCTCTCTTCCTTCTCTCTCTCCCTCTCTCTCTCTCTTCTCTCCATCTCCTCTCTCTCTCTCTCTCTCTCTGCTCTCTCTCTCTCGTCTCTTCTCTCTCCATTCTCTTCATCTTCTGCTCCTTCGTCATCTCTCCTCTTTCCTTCTCTCTTCTTCTCACCCCTCTTTTCTCTTTCCCTTCTCTTTCTCCTTTTTTTTTTTTTTTCTTTTCTTTCTCTTCTCCTTTTTTCTTTCTCTTCTCTCTTTCTCTCTATCCCTCCTCTCCTCCTCCTTCTTCCTCTCTCTCTCTCTCTCTCTCTCTCTCTCTCTCTCTCTCTCTCTCTCTCTCTTCTCTCTCTCCCTTTCCTCTCCCTCTCTCTCCTCTCGTCTCTCTCCCCCTCTCCTCCCTCCCCCCCCCCCTCTCTCTCCCCCTCTCCCCTCCTCCCCTCCTCTCCTCCCTCCTCTCTCCTCCCTCTCCCTCTCCCTCTCCTCTCCTTTCTCTCTCTTCTTCTCTCTCTCTCTCTCTCTCTCTCTCTCTCTCTCTCTCTCTCTCTCTCTCTCTCTCTCTCTCTCTCTCACCTCTCTCTCCTCTTCTCTTCTCTCTCTCTCTCTCTTCTCCCTCCCTCTCTCTCTCACCTCTCAACTCACTCTCTCTCCCCTCCCTCCTCCCTCCCTCCCTCCCTCCCTCCCTACCTCCCTTCCCTCCCTTCCCTCCATTCCTCTCCTTTCTCTCCAGGCCTTTTTTTCCTCACTGGGACTTTCCCTATTTCCTCTCGCTCTACTCTGACCTTTCCTTATTCCCCTCTCCCCCTTCTGCCGGCATTCCCTTCCGTCTTCTCCCCCTCCATCCCCCTTCCATCCCCCCACCCTTCTCCCTCCAAATAGAGAAACCTGCCGGTAAGGTAGACCGCTCGCTTTCATTACGAACTTATCTCTAATTCACTCTCGAAACACGCACGGGGCAAGCGACAAATTGAGACACTGATAGTGCGAAGGCAATGCATTTTGATTGATTTCACCTCACATAGGCCTACTGAAATCTATTTTTTTTATCTTGTGTGGAATAACGAAAGGATATCAAGGGAAGGGTTTGTGTATTGGGATTGAATTAATGGAATATTGGTTAATAATGAATTGGGATTAAGATAATCGAAGACTAAGGATTTAGAGATGTTCGTGTAGGAAACGGTGCATGACGTCATCGAAAGCGAAATGGGAGTTTGTTGAAACGAAACTGTACCTTCGGACGCAGGTTAACCTCTGCTTCCGCGTGGGGGTAGGGGTGGGGGATGAGGGGCTAGGGGTGGAGGCAGGCAGGCAGGCTTGACTTGGTGTGGATATTCTTATCTGGCATGTGTATATGTGTGACCCTCCCTTCATTTTCATTCGTTTCCCACTTGTGCTTCGTCTTCTTGTGGTTGTGGGTGGTGAGTTCGGTGTTGTAGTTAGTTCCGAGTGTGTTGAATCCCTTGAATAAAGCGTGTGCCTGTTCATGTAGGAGAGGGGGGGGGTGTATTTCTGACGGAGGTGCATTCGAAACCAGTCAGATACATCTCTTGTATTATAAAAATATTCATTCTCATTCATTCATACCTCCCTTTTTTACATTTGCCAACATGAAAACGGTTCACGTGTGTGTCTATGCGGGCGTCATCACAAGCGAATAAGGTTTTCAGACGCAGGAAACCCGTGGTGATATTTCGCCATCGCTGTTTTTTTCGGCGTTGCGTTGGATTCCCGGGATGGAAAATAATCTTTCTATTGGCTTGGAAGCGAGATCGACGATATTGACGGAAATACCACGGTGCTCTCGTTCTCTCTCTCTCCCTCATTCCCTTTGGTCTCTCTCTCTCTCCTCCTCCTCCCCTTCGGTTTCCCTTCGGCCGGAAGTGGGCCTGCTTTCGTGGCATTCCGCGGCCTGCTTTCTTTTGTCCTGTTGAAGATGGGTTTAAATTCGCTTTATACCGTTTTGATGTCATTCAATATTAAGGTAGAAGGACGCACCTCACCTCGCGGACTTGGCTCACCTGTGATGATCAAAAGAGGTCACGGGAGACCCGCTGACCCCAGGCCGGCGATGAGGCTGCCCCGGGTGAACCCCCCCGCCACCCCTGCATTCCCCTGGCACTGCTTACCGGGCAGATGGGCCCCGGGGTTTCGCGAGGGGTGGAAACACGGCTGCTTCTCTCTCTCTCTCTTCTCTCTCTCTCTCTCTCTCTCTCTCTCTCTCTCTCTCTCTCTCTCTCTCTCTCTCTCTCTCTCTCTCTCTCTCTCTCTCTCTCCTCTCTCTCTCCCTCTCTCTCTCCCTCTCCCTCTCCCTCTCCCTCTCCCTCCCTCCTCCCTCCCCTCCCTCACGCTCTCCCTCGCCTCCCCCTCCCTCTCCCCCTCTCTCTCCCTCCTCTCCCTCCCTCCCTCCCTCCCTCCTCCTCCCTCCTCTCCCTCCCTCTCTCTCCTCTCTCTCTCTCTCTCTCTCTCTCTCTCTCTCTCTCTCTCTCTACATCTCTCTTCTCTCCTCTCTCTCTCTCTCCCTCTCTCTCTCCCTCTCTCTCTCTCTCTCTCTCTCTCTCCCTCTCTCTCCTCTCCCTCTCTCTCTCTCCTCTCTCTCTCTCGCTCCCTCTCTCTCTCTCCGGGGCATAGTATCTCGCTCCGAAAGGGGTTCTTGGTGCTACGTGGCACCGCGCGAAGGGCTTTCGGGGTTTCGCGCTTGCCCGGTTGCCCAAGGTTGTCTGCGGGGGGGGGGGGGGTGCCAAGGCCGTCGGGAGGGATTGGTGTGGCTCCGGGGCGAGTGGTGCGGTCGGGATGGGCGTGCGGGCGTGCGGGCGAGCAGGCGGCGACTCGAAACTGGGTTGGTTCTGCGGTTTGTTTACCTTCGGGCGGAGGCGCCGCTCCGGTTACGCCGAGGAGGACTCAGGTGAAAGAAAAAATGGAAACAAAAGACAAACAGAAGCGCGCAAGAGCGAGATTAAATCTACGTTTCACAAGAGGAAGAGGGGGGCGAATTTCGAGTAGCCGATCGCTGTTTTTCTGGCTGGATTTCTCATTTGACTTTCAATTAAGGAATGGATCTCTGATGAGCTGTATGGCAGACGAGCGTGCCTTGACACCCGGCTGCGTTTGTCACACGCGGCAGGCGCCAACACGAGGTGGGAATTTTAGCAATATGATCTACGCTCTCTGGAATGTCTCGGGTGTTGTGAGAGAGTTGAGGTTGTTAAAGGCAAGAGGGAAAGGCACAACCAACAACACAAGTAATTCCTTTCCGGGTTAGCTGATGACGTCAGTGGGTTCTTCGTTTGGCGAAAAAGTACGGAGGCATCCGGCGGAGACGAAGAGACTGGGGCAAGGATTTTGAGAGAGGATGCCGGGCGAGGACTAGTAAGGAAGCTGTTGAGAGTAAAAATGAGCGATTCAGCCCAAATAGAAGGCATGGGGTATAGTTAGACTTGCGTGCGTCGCTGCGGCCACGTGTCGTGCAAGGAAGAGGTGACGTTTGTAAGAGCGGCGCACGTGTATCGCCGATAATGGAGGATCGTTGGACACGTTTAAGAGGCGGAAATAAAGCAACGTTTTTGTGAAGCGACGGCGACCGCATGGGGTTTATTTTTCCGTTTTGTTTTTGTTTAGCGGCGCGGCGTGCGTTTGCGCGGGGCGGACGGGAGCGGGGCGAAGCTAGGGAACGGGCAGGGCACGGGGCATGCTAAGTTTAGGGTGGCACGTTGGCGGCGCGACAGTGTGGTGTTGGGGTGCACGAAGAAAGGAGTGCGCGCGGCGGTTCTCGCTATCATGAGTGCCATGAGGACCTGAGTGAGACGCTCCCCGCCATGAACAGCCGCGGCCATCCCCAGTACCAACCCTTCCCCAAGCTGGAGGAGCCATGGCCCTACTACAGCCCCCAGTCGCGGCGAGTGCTCAGTCCTCCTCCGAAGCCACGGTTCCCCTACAGCGTGCCCGTGGGCGGCCACGCACAGATGGGCTACGTCCCCGCCCCTGTGGCCCGCCACGCTCCGGCAGGATACCGGGGGTACGCCAGCTCTCCTGCGCCCTCGCCCTACTCCCGAACCCACGACTACCCCTCGGCGGAGAGGCACGCCCGGATCTCCGTGCCGCGACACTACCCTGACGAAGACGTCGACGGCGACCCCGTGGTCTACAACGCG